ATTTTTTTAGTATATTACTTGTGTGGTGTAGAAGAGAATTATTTATGTAGAGATACTGCTTGCAAACCAATGATGTAAGATGATGTCATGGGGTAGGACTGGATAAGTCTGATTTCTTCCTACTCCATTCAAGCATGTACTAGGTATAAGCAAATTGATATTGGATTAGCATTTGTTGGATATGTGTAAAATTATGTGTGTTGACATATCAACTGTCTTTACATGCTTGAAAGAATAAATCAAATGAAAAATCAAAATCAATCTTGTCATTAAACTCTGAAAAAAAATGAATTAACATATTTCCCAAAGTGTCAAGATAATTCTTTACATCTCTTTTTTAGTGATTAATCTGAATGTTTTAACCAGACTGGAATATAGCAGAAAGGAGGGCAGAGGTCAAAGGTCAAACAGATTGTGACAAGTCTGGTGATGGCACACTGCAATCAGATGGTCCCATCTGATAATCTCTGACATTTGACCTCTGAGTGCCTGTGATGGCTCCATCTTTAAAAACTTTATAAAGTCAAAGTTATTAAAATCTTTATGGAGACAGAATTACTAAAGCTTAATCCATCTGATCCATTAGAACCCCATACACATCAAAGACAAGAGGGGATAAAAAGACAAGGATTAAACTGGAAACAATGGGAACCTTTAAAACTTCACACATACCCAAATGAACAAAGTAAAACTGGAGACACAGGAAATTCTCTGCGTGGTGTTATAAGAAGAGGTGCCTACAAGAACCTCTGAAAAGGATCCTAAACTACCGTTGTTGTTGAGATGTTTACAGAATGTAGCTTTCAAAAACACCAATGCTGATTTTCACTTTGTACAAAATTTGCTGTTTTTACTTTGCCAGTTGACCCACTACTCAAATACTGAAAGACCTAAAACACTGACGGACTCCCCCGAAGTCTAAGAAGAAGCTGCTTCCTCTCATCCCACAAACACATTATTAAAATCACATTTCACTTTAAAATCAGGCACAGCATGGTGAGTAAAGTAACAAGGATTATCACCTGACAAAGTGGTGACTGCTGGAATAGGATCACTAACTATTGGATAAAAGATATTGCACTGTAACATGACCGGGAATCTAAATCAGTTACATACTGAAGGATGATGAAGCAATATTTTAAATATGCTTCATTATTTCATTCCAGAAATTCCAAGTTAGGTTAATCAGCTGAATACAAATACCACATTCGCAACTGCTATGGGACAATAGCCTCCACTGAAACCACACAAACTGTTTTAAGTTTTAGTAGCTCTTTAAGGCAGGTAGACTTACTGATGAATTGACTGGAAACAATGACCTCAGAACAACATGTATGGTACTTATTTGATCAGTAAACCAGATTGTTTGCAATACATCACTTTTCAATATGTCACCTGGGAGGACTCGGAGCTCAGCGTCTGTCCCTGTCCTAGTGCTACCAGGGTTGTCCGCCAGACAGCGGTATGTGGCTGAGTCCGGCGGCTGGACCCGAGTGACCTGCAGCGAGCCGGATGGCAGCACTGCTAGACGGGAGTCAGGGTCAAAGGTCAGCGGGAGATCATCCCGGTTCTTTTGCCAGCGGATTATGGGTGATGGATCACCCGAGACCTCGCAGCGCAGCAGGGCAGTGTCACCAAGGTGCGAGGAGACAGACTCGGTGGGGACAACCACTTTCAGCGGACCTGAAGGGAGACGAGAAGGAGACACATTTATGACAAAACAGAAATGTGGAGTATTGATTGATGTACATATTTTATGTTTCTTTGTTTCTACACAGTTGGATCAGGAATGCAGTTCAACACAACTAAACTGAACTCAGTCCAGGTCAGATCACAGCTGTACTAACTTTAATTGTACTGAACTGAGCTGTACTGAACTCCATAGGGTTTTACACTTTACTGACTTGTAAATTAACTAAACTATACTGATGTGTACTGGTCTGTAGTGTGCAAAATAATTATTTAAGTAACTGAACTGCAGAAAACTTTACTCTACTAGTTGAACTGAAATTCACTGAACTGAAGTCATCCGTATTGTACCGAAACTGAATGGCACAACTACGGCACAACCATTGACCCTTCAACTCACATCCGGCTAGAGGTGTCACTTAGACATCAGTGTAGGCTAGGCATCACTGGATCAAATCAAACTTAAGGCCAAGTCATACATATGGTGTGATTACAGACTGTGAGAATAACATTATCAGTGGCTTTGCTGCATGTAGAAAGTGCCAAAAAGTATTATCACTGGATAGCTGCAAGCTATAGGCACTTTGTCACAAAGTAAACAGAGCTGCAGAGCCCATGAAATGAAATCTGATAGTATTGTTTGTTTTCTGATCTTGGTCTCTGCAGTACTGTACCAAGCAGTAACACCACAATAAAAAATCCTATATGGTGCTACTGCTAACATTGCTGCTGCTGCTGCTGCTTTGCTCAGTAACCAGCTACTGGTACATCTACAGTACATCAGCTAAAACTGAAACTGCTGTCTGTAGCGCTTAGTACTACTAATAGTGTTTCAGGAGCAAAAGACACACAGTAGCAGCAGGGGTGAAGAAGAAGAAAAGGTGAGAGCTGACAGTAAAGGTTTTAAGCAGACAAGAAGAAATAAAGACAAAAAAGGAACAGTAAGGGAAGTGAGTCACAGCAGGTATAGATGGATGAGAGCCAGAGAGTTTGGCTCTGAACAGCAGGGTGATAGATTAAAGTCAGAAAGACACGAGGACAGAGTGGACGGATGGCATCCAGCCTGCTGTGTTTAGGACACATACTGTTTCCTGTCTGATCAGATTCACTTCAACAACATCCTGTAGCCACATAAATACATGACTCTGCAGACTGTCAGACTGACTCTGCTGTCATGTTGAAAACGCTGCTCATTTTTCTGGAACTTGCACAATTATGTTTTAATTTCAACATGGTTGCTGGGGCCTCTGGGAAGATTGGCCAAAATATCAGGAATTTGTTAGGTGGAAGTGTATCTTCTTCTCTGCCTTGAAGTTGTTTTGAGGTAAAAAAAAAAAAAAAAAAAGAAACTACTACTACTACTGTATTTTAAATATTCTGTTTTTCTCTTCACCCACTTCTCAGCCTTGTATCACAGCATTTACTGCAGATAATGGGGAACAAAATGTCCACAGTGTTTCAGGCAGAATTATCTGGGAGGTGTTAGCATGGGCTCATTTTTTCGGGGGTCACTGCTCCATAAAATCAAGCAGAGATAATGCAGTGAGAATTGGTTTCATTTCAAAATTTTTCATTTTATATGTTTGACTGTAGTACTACATATTTAGTAACATCTATATGATGTAAATGTGTCAGATTCAGCCAAAATACAGATATTCATCTGCAGTTCATGCCTAGGTTGATGTTGTCATCAAAAGAAACAGAAAAGACCAACAAAAAGCAGACAAAACATGTGCATGTACACTGTATGAGGAATTAGCATAAATGATAAAAACCATCTTAAAGTATTCATACAGTATAGCCTACAGAGCAGTGCTGCATTTTCACACACGCAGGGTTCTAAAAGAACAGAGCAGGCACATGATGCAGCCCACACTATAGATCACATATGACACTTAGACTTGAGAAACTAAAGGCGTGTCCACATTATCATCCGTGCAGAGCCTGAGCAGCTCACCACATGGCACATGGGCCACACAGCAATTGTGAGTCGTGAACATACAGCAAGACATTTTTCAATGATAACGTGAACAATACATTGGAGCGATGCAATAATACATCAAATATCATCATGACAATCTTGTTTCTCCACTTTCTAGAAAAAAAGACATGTTGGGAAGCCTCCCAAATCATCTGGACATGTGTTCCAGCCATCTGAAAGAAATTAATTTATCTTGCATGATATGTCTGTCTGCAGCTCCAGTGTGCCTACTGGTAGTTTAAGTAAAGATGAAAGGACCGACACCATTAAGTATCTGAATTTCTTTAGTCCTGGAGCTGTTCAGAGTTGATGATCCTTTCAACTCTGGACTCAGACACCTCTTTAACAGTGACAACAGGTAAAGTAGCATTGATACTTAAGTAGCTTCCTTTCAGACTAAGGTCAGTATTCCTTATAGAATTATAATTTTTTCCTGCCTGTCATCATTAGATTCTTTCAAGCCATTTTGGACTTAGATTTTGTGTAAAATCATGCCTATCCTGTTAAATTAGCATTTAAGAAACCTTGTAAAAGCATAGTCTATTCACTTTATAAAGATTCATTGATTAGGATGTCTTTTTCTCATTTCATAAAGCTACTTAAAATATTGAGAGTAACATTCAACATTCACATCACTTTATTTTTAAAATTATTATGCTCACTTGTAGGCATTCTAAATGAAGTCTTTATTTGATGAAAATGTGAATGTATATTTTGAGAATTATCTAGCTATGAGCCATCAAGTTAGCCATGTGAAAGTTAAAGCACTTTCATATACAAGGTTTGCTGCTAAAAACCAGGCCAATGTGAAATTGACATCTGTGACAGAAAATAACGTGGGCTTCATAGACAACTGGAAAACAATCTGGGGAAAACCTGGTCTGATTAGCAGAGATGGCATCCATCCCACTTTGGGTGGTGC